CGATGATCTCTCAAGGTCCCTTCCAATCCAAAGCATTCTACGATTCTATGAAATGAAGTACAATGCGCAGTAGACCGCAGGACGGACAGGTGTGAAGACTATCAGACAGGAGTTAGATCCTCCTACAGGCACTACCCGCCATGCTGCTGGTTGCAAACTGCAACCTCCTCCGGTGCTATCATAACTTAAGGAAGGGCTGTATGTCTCAGAGTTACTTGCCGCATGTAGAATCATAGAATGCTTTGGGTTGGAAGGGACCTTGAGAGATCATCGAGCCCAACCCCCCTGCAGTGAGCAGGGACTGAAGTAGAAGCAGTGGCAAACAGGCCAGCTAGGACTGCACACACAGCCACAGACCGAAGAGCTCCCCTGTGAGGACGAGGGAAAGGGAGCTGGGAGAGACTTGGGTACAAAGTAGAAACACATGGAAAGCCCCGTGGAAATATGAGGCAGCGCATCTTACGTCTGAAAGGTTACAGCATCACCCAGCTCCTCCAGGCCCAAGGACAGCATCCCTCTTGTCACCTTTTGGTTAGTGTAGACTGCAAGAACTGCAAGAGAGTAAAGATACCGCTGTGTCCATGACGGGCGCAAAGCTCTGCAGCAACCCAGAGATGACTTTCTCATTTCTACATCCACTCTGCCTTCCCATCAACTTGTGCGTCTGACAGCCGCGCATTTTTCCTTATCCATCACGCAGAGCCTCTTTGCTACTAGTGCTCCAGAGGAACACAGCAATGTGGCAAAAGCATGCTGAAGGAAAATACTAACAGTAGTGATATTTAAAAATATAAGCAGTACCCCACTGTTCATATCAAAATTAATTTTATGTTTATGACATATAGATTTTTAAAGGCTTTCCAACGAAGAGCCTGAAACTCAAAGGACACACATTTCTGTCCTTTGCTCTGAAGTCCCCTTTGCACGAGCGCACAGAGGAAGTACATGTGAAGACAGGGATTGCAGCATACAGCTGCTCAGTCCGCGAAGGCAGAAATATGTTTTCACTTATTCGGGCCTTCACATTTCTTAAAGAGTTGTATTTATGTGGCATGTAACTTTATGAACGTTTTGGGGATTTTTAAGTATTTAAATACTCAGACTGTATTGGTAACAGATGTTCAATGATATATTTAATTTTTAGTTTTACTGAAAATATCATATATCAGTTGATATTTTCTGTAAAATACAACTTTGAAGGAATGCCTCAGTATACTGTACTTCCAGGAAATGTATCTGAGCCTTTCAGCTACTGCATTAAAGTGGGCACTTCGGAAATTAGTGAGCAAATGTTCTGAGAGTCTAATAGGATTTCTCATTTGCCAAAAAAATAGTGCTTTCAGGAGCACAATCTTTTGTGTAATCTCTCTCTCACAAGACAGATGGCATCATTAATTGCCTCTACATCTAGTTAAATTTAAAAACCTGTGCTTAAGTAATGTTAAAGTTGTAGTACACGCTGACAAACCTAGGAAATACTGAGTTAGAATCAACCAGAAAGAAGGCAAGAAAACCAAGACAGGACAGACAGGAGTAAGAAGAGACCACAAGAAACACCGACTGGTTTAATATGTCCTTGTTCATGCCAGGAACTGTCACAACCTTAATAATCTAGGAAGCGTTTCTGCGTTTCGGCGAACTCCTGGCTTGAGTCAAGCCATTGGCAAAACTCCCATTGACTTCTGTGGGTGAGAATGTCATCCCTTAATCTTTTTAAAGCAACTTTACGTGGAAGTTGTCCAATATGGCTTATCCGCAGTTCTAATTACAACGCCTGTGTAAATACATTTTGGGAGTCAAATGTAACTGTGATCTGTATTTCAAAGCTAACATTATTCCAATTCCGTGGTTTACCACAGTCACCCTACAGTGGTATCAGTTACCAAAAGCCCGATTTTAAGCCTTCTCTGAGCTTAAAACGGAATATAATTATCATAGCACTGCCAAAGAGCCAGCTTTTGCCAATAGATACCATATGCTAACTCTTTGGTTTTAAATACAAGCCCCGCATTTAAAGCCTTTTGTCGCACCGTACAAGCTGTGATTTTCAGATGCCTGGGAGAAACAGACACCCGAATGGATTTGAGCGCGTACAGCCACACCATCTTCTGAAAGTCCAGCCATACTACACAGCCTATCCCCTTAAATACAGATATGTTCCTTGCTACAGTTAAACACTCGTAAACAGTGAGGGTCCGAATTGAAGGCTGTAGAAGAAAACAATGTCAAAAGAGCAAAAAACCAAGAAGATGCATTGGAAACACAAGAAATAATTGAGACTTGATGCTCAGATCTTGAATTAGCATCTGTATCCGTACGCTAATTTTGAATTTGTATAGTGGTACCCAGTAAGCCCAGCAGTACTATTCATCACTAACAATAAGGATTTTATCTTTAAAAATTAGCTCATTTTCTTCAGTGTTCAAACACAAGGCCGCTACCAGAACCCAGATTTTACTTCATTTTGTTTTATTTCAGTCTAGCATTATGCTTTAGGTTTGTGCACCTGTCATAATATTCAATCCTGTTGGCCAATATCAACCAAATTGGGAAGAAGGCAAAATCATCAAATATGTTAAACTCCCGTGAGATTCCTAAAATAAGTAAATGGATGGAGAAAAGAGACCTTACTAGTGACCTTATGACAGGAAAGGCTGCAGGGTGAGTTCAGCTGGAGAACACGTGGGAACTTAACTTCAAGGCACAAATCTATGGGAAGCCTGGCTTCACTGTTTGTAAGCTCATGAAAGTGTATTTAGTTTTAAACAGATTACAGCATTCAATAACACCCTTAATTTGTTTTTTTACAGTGTCTGGTGAAAGAATTTAGTAGATTACATTGTGACAAAAGAAATCTGACCTTATAAATAAAACAAATGACAGGTTCCTCTGGCATAGAGACATACAAGATTAATATTTTGTTAAAAACTATGATCAAGGCTGATCGTCAACGTTCACGCCAGGGATTACATTGCATCTTCTCTTACTTATTTGCTCCTCGGCACTGAAAGCAGTGTGTGCTGGGACAGTATCTTCCATCGCTTACCAGATCTGAAAGTTCAGTTATGCGCTATAAGGGACAGGGGCCACCCCTCCTCTGCTTCCCTGCCATCGGAGGCAACAGCAGGTTCTGGAGTCAATACCCTTCTTCTGTCTCGATTTATTATATTGCTTTTTGTACTGTCAAACGGACTGCTGGCTACGAGGTTTTGCTGATAGGCTTGTAAACTCCGGCAGGGAGGACTAGGGTCACTCGAGCGGTTCTGATTTTACCTTTTAAAAAGGCCTCATTACTCACCTACACAAAAGACTCTCCTGGGCAGGATTCCATAAGGAAGCGTTTATTTAGTCCCTTCCATTCTGCTCAGTTATGCCTGATGTAAGGTCACACAGTGCTCCAGCACTCCGAAACTGCACTGGCTTCCTAGCAGCATTTTCCTTTGTAGGTAGTTCAAGGTGTTAACCTTGGAATATCATTCTTGGAAATGCTGCATTCTTCAGCCTAGACTCACCAAAAGGCCACCCATCTCTTCCCACATTGGCGCAACCCGTGCCTACAGTTAATGCGCCCACGGTATGATGTTTTCAGGACTGGAGGAAGTATGATATACTGTACAACTGAATTTCACAACGGGTCACACAGTACCTGGATCTGCTGATCTTCTGCTAAAGTATTCTGAAATACTCGAAAGCAAACGAACTACTAATTGCGTACACGTTTGCGCTGCAGCAGAAAGCGGTGCATGGCCTCCGGCTGTAGGATGGGAGCTGGAATGATGTCTTGCGCTGCTCTGCTGTCACGCACTACCCTCGATACCAGGCACGCAGAAAGCCTCCGAGCACTGACAGACCAAAAGGGCTCGGATAAAAGCCACCCAGGAGCCTGTGCAGCCCACGTGGAAGACTCGTTAGGACAAGGATCTACAGAGGGAATTCCACAGGAACATTTAACGCTAGAGATAAAGAGCTTAAGCCATCGCATGAGCACATCTTAAGAAGTTACTGCCCCTCAAGTGAGATGATGTAGATGCGTTGCATCCCTTGCTTCCCAGGCTGGGAAGCAATGCAGGTTCATTTCGATCCCTGCAAGGATATCTTTAATCGTATGCACTGCCATGTGACACACATTGACCTCAGTCTGTACGTTAATGCTGGGGAATAATTTTGTATCTGGTGTGAGATCACATCTGTCTGTCTTGCAGTAAATTCTTCTCTCGGACCAGGAGCCAAATGGAGAGCAGAAGTGGTTTGAATGAGTGTATTTTCCTTTTCGTTCACAATGAACCGATATCCCACAGTCAGCTGTCCCGTACCAGCTAAGAGACAGTAACTCCTGACCCAGGGCTGTAACTTCTTGAGATATGATAATGGGACTGCTTTCCATTACCTCTCTCTACTTAAATTAGCCATTACGATGTAAACCAAATTGTTCATCACCACCATCCTTTTTGCTATAAGAAATTGTCGCTATCTCCTCTTCCTCAGATTCATCCACAGACCTCAGCTCTGCATTCTTACAGACACTGGTTTACTCAAAAAGAGTACAGTAATCCCTATAATTATTTTTACAGAGCAAAATCCTAGAGGTTCAGAACATTCTGAGACTAAGATAATCTAATCATCTTAGCCGTAAGACCATTGTCTGTAATTGCCAGTTTAATGCAGAATGCACTTATTTTAGGAAAAGTCATTAGAAGAAATTAAAATATTATTTTCTTATCACTCAGCTTTGAAAGCAGCCCTACAGGCTTTGCTGGCTTGTTACTCTTCAGGCTGATGAAAAAGGTTCCTCAGGTCCACCTGGCAGATCAGGTCTAAATTTTATGCTACTGTTAGAATAACCATGTGCTTTACCCTCCCTCCACATGCCTTGCAACTCGGAAATAAAGTTTGCTCAAAAGGGCAAAGCTTTCTCCTGATAGCTGTTGGAATCAAGTAGGAAATCAGACATTTCTTGATCTCAGAGGGACGGCGTGAAATAACATATCTGCCCCACTCACCTGCTGCTCCATCGTTTGTGGATGGATGAAAGTCACAAAATCAACTGAGAAATAACCGAGCACTCCTTTAGATTTACAGGTTTCCCCAATTTTTAAGCAGAGTGAATTAAGAACTGCTGGATCAACAGAACATTGTGGAATGGTAGTGCCAGATGATCGCAAAGGACCGTCAGCATGGAGCTGGTCTCCAGATGACACTATTTTTATCTTGCCTGTTGGCTCTATCAGCATATCCACCGTAAGGTTTGTGACATTTTCTGAGAGCGGGAAGGCTTCTATCACACCACCTAGTAAGAAATGAATTAGCTGTTAAGCTAGTAATCAAATTCACATGTGATGCTCTTCAGAGTGCACAGAATGAAACCATCCAGCTCCTATTGTGCTCAGACACTGCAGGGAGGACTGCTATGGAGATACACCAAGTAAATAAATGTAATGTGAGCAGCATAGCTAGAACCCATGAATCTCTTAGAAGAGAAAGAAGGTATCTCATCTACTATAGCACCGTACAGTTCATCCAGTGGCTTTTGAGCTGCAAATGCTTTGCAAGCAGTTCCAGACTGGGTTTATCACATATCTGACTGGAGAAATATGCTCCCGGGTAGTATGAATGATTTCTGGGCTGTCCTACAGCCTAGCTAAATGGCAGGCCCAGAATAGCGCTGAAATGCAATGTTGGGACCTCAGTGGGAGCGGTATCTCCTGCTGTGAACTAATCTTGGAGATTCCCATCCATGGGATGGTCTGAGGCAAGTAGTCTGCCTTTCGGTAGGAACTTGGTATGTAAATGGGAAGGCTAGAGAAGCTGACAAAACTTCTAGAATGGTTGTCCATAAGAAAATCACAAAGAAAAGTGGTTGGCGTTCTCGATTTGTGTTTATACTGCATATAATGCCATAAGTCATTTAGTTAGGAGAAACTAATATGTAATAAAAATAGGTACTATCTGTGTTAACTGGCATTATTTTTCAAAAAAAATACTTTCAAAGCTTTGAATCAGCCTTGTCTCTTCCACAGATAAAGAAATGTATGAAATATATATTCATTTTATATAACACAAAACAATGTCAGGGCAGAATCACCACAGAAATTTACTACACACCCACAAACACCGCATCTTTTCCGTCCAAAATCTGGCATACAAACGTAGGATGTTAACATGTCTGTGCAAAGCCCACTCACAGATACAGAGATTTGCAGTGATTAGACAAGGGCTTTATCTGCGCCGCCTCTTACAGACAAACGTGGGCTCACTTCTGAGCTCTAGGCCAGTTGGGTACTGGCCAACTTTCATCCAAAGGTGCCATGAGTGGGTTTAATGCAGGAAGCCCTGCTGAGGACTCGGCACCGCACGAACAAAACTATCCAGCTATGGGATTGGAACTTGTTCATATTCCTTTGGTTGGAGGGCAAGAAAGAGCACGGCAACGGTCTAACGAGGAGCCTGTGCCAACATACCCGTGAGGGACAACGCGGCAGTGCATTGCTGATCCTCGGTGGCAACGCCACCCGCCTGGAAGGCAAAAACTGGGGAGAAAGCTCAGCTCTTCTCCAAGCCAGCTAAAGGTTATGAGCACGTTTGACTTCATGCAATGTATGTATACAGCATCCACAATTTATGTACAGCTCCCTTACTGGTCCTATGGGAGGGAACAGCAAGTCTCACAGATGTTTGCTCACCAACACCTAACAAAGATGAAATATTCTCACATTAACCCACGTGCAAACTCACACGCTAGCATTCCCTAAAGCCCTTTTGCCAAATGTGACAGCCTCCAGTACAGTAACGCAGGATGAAGGAGTTGGTGCTTATTGATTCCAAATCATGTAAGAAAGGTAATCCAGGATTAACATAGGTTCAATGCTTGGATAGGACGTATGAATGATAGAATAGTTGCCTATAATTCATTCGTAAATGAACATTTGAAGCATAATGGAGAAATAAAAGGAGATAAATATTTAAATGGGCCCAAGATTAACAAGAATATGGCATACAATATGGTATAATTACTCCTTATAACACTTAACAGCGACTTTGCAGTCTTATTTACCTTGACTAAGAAATGTTTGGAGGAATTTTTCCCATGTAGGGAATCGTTTCTCATTGACTGGCTGTACGTGCTGTGCTAAAAGGCCCGGCAGCTCCTGGGAGATCTTCACCAAAGCTGGCTCCTGCAGAAACAAATTAAATAGAACCACAAGCAATTTTACTACAGAAATGAAAACTGCTTGTGGGGTGATTAAAAACCAGGCCTCCAACAGGCAAAAAAAAAAAAAAAAAAAAATGTGGTTACTGTTTACCCACAGTCAGGAAGCCTTTTTTAATTTTTCTACTTACTACTCTTCCCTCCTATTGAAAACTGTCCTTCTCTGAAAGACAGTTCCCACCCCCCCTTCAGTATAGCATCTATTTCATTATAATTTATGTCAATAATTTGATCTGGCAACTGAAAATGCTAAGCACTTGGTAACTGCTTAGGGATCAATACCAGCAGTCAATAACTTCTACATTGTTTATATTTTGAAACTGAGCATATTGAAATAGTCACATATACCAGAAATAGTTTTACTGATTCTATGTTTAAGCTGTTATATCAACCCAAACACCCTTTAGTTATTTAAAAAAAAAAAAAAAAGGAATAATCAACCAAAAGCGTTTCTAAAGCAGGAGATACCCTTTTGCACTCTCCAATCCGTAACATAAATTCATTAGTGTATTCGTGCCTCTGTCTTTGGTAAAATTTGATTAGTCATACTATCGGAGATAAATGATAAACTAGCTTTTTCCTAGTTTTAAATTCTTTCCTGTATTATCACACACACAAACCAACCCCATTAAATACAGAAACTAACTGCATTGCTTTTACTGTTCAAAACTGTCCCAGAAGTACACAAGCATATAAAGTGCAAGGACCCTGACTCTATTGCTTCAGGCTCCTTTTCTTGCTGCTTCATAAGCATTTGCCTGCTTCCCCTGGGTCTCTTTGCTTCTGTTTTACATCCTCTCTCTTCAGCATCCCGTGCTTCAGAAGATGACCAACTGTCCTCTGATCTTGGCAATGTCCTAAGCCACATCACATTATCTCGAGTTCTGGGGGAACATGATAAAACCTTATGGCTAACATCTAAGAATAGGAAAAAAAAATTAAAAAAAAAAAAAAAAAAATCTGTTTTTCCAGACCAGCGAGTTTGAAGAGATGGGCTTTTGCCATGAGGCACATGATGTGATGTAGCCAAAAATATGAATTCAAAACCAGCTTATTGTGGTTTATCCACCAGAATGAGGAGAAGGAGGATGGGCCAATGACTAGGGTATCAACTTTGCCTATAGGAGACTTAGATGTATCTTCTTCCTGAATACAGGCTATCTGTGAGACTTTGGGAAAGTAACTTTCTGTCCATGCCTCAGCTGTCCAGCCATGAGAGGGGGACAATCGCTCTTCCTGCTGCACACAGAATTGAGAAAAAAAAGCCTTTAAAAATAGTGAGGTGCTTAGGTAATTATACTGATCTGGGCTATGTGGGCTCCTATCATATACTAAGGAGAAAAGTGTGTTGTTGACTTTCACATCTCAGAAAAAAACATTAAAAAATGGGTTTAGGCAGTATCTCAATATACTAAGCAGCATGACCTTAACCTTATGGCAGAAACAAAGAACCACGTAAAACGTGAGATCCAAGTTCAGAATTTACCCAGATTCAGGTCTTACACTGCTCGTTTCCTTACAATCTGTAAGGAGGAATTTAGGTTTTGGATAGCTCAGCTGACTAAAACGACAGTGCAGTGAGCAAACATCAGCTGGCCTTGCCTTGGTTTGTATTTGCGTTGAAATACTGCTAAGCCAAGAAGTCACAAGATCAGATGGTTCGTTGCACGGTGAAAACAAACGCAGCTTTGGAGAGAGGATCTGAGCCATGATGGACGTCATGGAATTGCTGACCTACAAATCGGCTTGTACCTGTCAGTGCATTCAGCGATACCTCTGTCACACCGAGCCTCATCCCTCAGATCTAATGACTTTGGGTACTGTGCAATTTAAACAGAAATATAAAAGCAAACAAACAAAAGAAGAGGTATGCGATGGCTGCCTGAAAGCTTTTGATAAATTACTGGGGAAAAAACCAATAATCCCCGCTGGATGTGTAGAAGCATTGGAGAGTGCTGTGACCAAGCTTGTATAAGTAAAACTTAAACTACAGGCATGTGAACTGGGACACAATTTTCCACTGCAACAATTCCAAGGGACATGAGGGCAGCCGTGCCAGCTCCATGGAACAGTGCTGGGGACAGACGTATCTCCTTTTCGGCAGAGCTGTTCTCGAGGATCACACATGGCTGTGAAAGAAAGCTCCCTAAATGGGGTGCAAAATCAAGCAGAACTTCCAAACGTCGAAGCGTACCAAAGGGCACGCTTACCTGGCTCACAAATGGAGGCTGCTGCTAAGACGTAGAGACTCCGTTCACCTCACCTGTACATATAGTAACATCATACGCTACTACTCTGTCCCTGTGATGGACATGAGACAGGCCAGACTGGTGTGGTACGTCCTCCACAGACCCAGTGTTGCTTCCTTAAATAAGCTCGAACAGCATTTGAAGGGGGCTTGAACACGGATGAACTCGGAACACCAGGTAGAGCAATGCGGATGCACAGTGCCCGGCTCAGGAGCACCTTGCAGGTCGAAGCACCCTCAGTACTCACTGACTGTGAAGGATGCGTGCAACAAAACCACTCGCCTTACAGAAAGACGACAGGGGCTTTTAAAGAAACAGCTAATTCAAGAAAATCTGAAAAATGTTCTTGTGAGATCAAACCCACCATAACAGTGCTTTTAACAAGTAACGCCTAGGTAATCAAGGTGTTCACAGAAGGGAGTCGGGCAACCGCTTTTTAAGGATCAGCACCTGGAATTCTAGCTGAAGTTTTTTTTGCAACTGTAAGCTCTAAAAAGGCAATAATCCTGATTATAGGGAGTTTTAGTAGGCAAATTCAAGTCCGGATCCAACATTCACTCATGAAGTCAAACCTTTTAAAAGGATCAGTGCTCGGTAGGCTAATTTCATTTAAATTGGACGGTATCTCCAGCAGAGCTTACCAATGTTTTATCTCTTGATGTGGCCCAAAACAATTCACAATCATAGGCTCAATGGAAATGGAGCATTTGTTCCGGTCCTTCAGCTGATGTTTCTTAGTACCAGTAAAAAAGGAGCAGCCCAAATACTGTTTACGTCATGTAGAAGTCTTTAAATCCAAATCTGTTTTGTACCTTTTCATAACAATGAATAAGCACGAAGAAAAAAAAAATACAGCCTTCCCACCCTAAATATGAAATAATTTCTCACCCTTCTGCTAGCTAAATCTTGAAAGGCTTTCTTAGAATGGCAGCTGCAACAAAAAATTAGGACCAAATCAGGCATATGTCAAAGGCTCTGGTAGGAAATCTACTCAAGACAGATCCAGTCAGCAAAGAGAAGCCTGTTGAGAAGATAAGTAAATAAATAGAAAGAAGAAATAGACTTCAAAATAGGAAGAAAGACCTGGGGACGGAAAGAGGCTGCAGAGCAGAATGCATGAGAAAGACCTAGGGCTTTTTTAGCTAAAAATCAGATTGAAAGGAAACTATTTAGACCTTGCAAGCAAATAGAGTGAAGAAGGGAACTCCAAATAAGTAAAGCTGACTGGGCCAGAGAAGAATAAAATCAGCAGACAGATCCTCAGCAATACAAACGGCCACATCTCTGCTGAAGTCAATGAAGCTATGGCAATTTATGCCACTTCAATGGCACTATGACGATTCATACCATTTATGCAGTATATCCTTTATATTGCGATCAGTGGAGCTCTGAGAACTTATTCCAGCTGCCTTGATGTGAATTGGTCCAGCCGAGCTTATTCTTACGTTCTCAGCGACACCAGCAAACATGGCAATATTGGAAGAGTCCGTGACTGCTGTCTGACCATCCAAATAACTTTCATTATTTCCTATTTTGCAATCTAAACTGATTTGACGTTTTTTCTAATTCAGACAGGTACATGCCGGCCAGAACCACAGTCTATCGCACTGAACAAAACAATTTGCGAGGTTTATAAAAATGGAAATGTTCTTGGAAGCGATACACTGAATACCCTAGCTACTTAAAGTTTGCAGCCTGATTTAAAGCCCAGGCATTTAATTGTTAACTGCAAATTTTAAAATTAAAAAGTGCCAATTTTGCCTTCCACGAGCTGGAAAAGTATGTTCGGATAGAAGGTAACATCATGTAAAACAGCCATCATTACCAAGAAACACAAATGTTTTTCGTATGTAAAATTGCTTTGTAAAATATTTGCTCCATCTGCTGAAAGTAGCAAAGACAATTTTCCCTGATAGCTAATGGCCCATTTCAGCTGTATGGCAAGCGATTCACCGTGGCTGCGACTTGCATTAAGTAGAATGTCGAAAACAGCACACAGAATTCTCCACTTATGTAGTATTATCTACTCACTGCTTCCTGAGAGCCCTGTCCCTCATTATCATGGCCTTCGCTTTGGATCAGCACACAGGACTAGGGTTGCTTTGGCTCAAGAGGCTTTTTGTCAAACTGAGGCACATATGCTAGGCTTCAATACAAAAGCACAAAACAGCCACTTTCCTTGACTACAAGGAACAAGAAGGTTAGTTCTCTTTCAACTTTCCAGCACTTAAACTGCTGTTCCTTTTTTCACACCACATGGGGCCATGGTTTTCTCTTCTGGCTCATGCTGTCGCTCTGCACGCTGAGGATTTCAATATATAAAGATCAAGCACTTCTTTTAATTCTAAATTCAACTACATACACATACAAAAAAAAAAAAAAAAAAAAAAAAAGAAAAAAAAACCCCACTGGCCTAGTCAAAACCCCCCTCCCAATCGCTCACTTCATTGTATACTTTGCTACTTACCATTCCCCATTGAAAAGCGCATGTTTACATTGTGCCCCAAACTACTTCAACATCTGCTAACAGACCAATAAAAAATAAATAAACCAGGATTGTTTAGAAAGAGAGATCCTTCCTATTTCCTCTGAACGCTCCTAAACTGGCAACAGCAATATGCTGCGAGATCCCTTTTCGTAGAAAACAATTTATGCGGGGAAATCAAATATAAAAATCACTGCAGCCCGTGCTACCAAAAATCAGGCAGGAAGAGGG